GCCCTTCCGGTACCTTTTCTTTTCAAAAAAAATGTTTATGCAGGCAGTCTGGATCCATTTTATTGCCTAATCACTAACATGTGAGATGTTCATGCGGGTGCGCAAATCACCAATTTAACACCCAAGAAAGCAGTAAATAAATAGCAGGATAACATACCTTAAAGCCACGCAAGCATCTGCATTGTTAGTAGAAAATCACACAGACAATCCTAATATGATTTCTAATTAACAAAGCAAGGTACTCAAGGTGTTCATTAAGGTTTGCGCTTTATTAAAATGTAAACTAACCTATATGCAATGACGTGCAAAAAATTATATGCGATTAATGCAACCTAGCATGCGAACTATATGTCATGCGACGACGTGACCTATTTCTAATGACGGACAAATGATTTATTTTTGGTATTTTTCCAATGAAATTCGAAATTAAAAATACTCAAATCAACATGCAATCTATCCTAGAGAAAATGATTTGATTTATCCTAAAGTGATTCTTTTTTTGGAATTTTTATTAAAATTCGAAATTTTAAAATAACCTAAATAATCTATTAGGATTACAATAACACCTAATTTAAACTAGGAAATAAATTATCTCAAGTCCTAATTTAAATTAAATAATTATCCTATCTTCTAGATACATTTAGGGTTCCCTAAACATGCAAAACTTCTAATTTAAATCTAACTAACAAATTTTTGGATTTTCTTTATTTAAAAGGAAAGCAATCAAACAAAGATAACAAGCACATTCAAACAATCCACGCAATCCGCAAGATTCTTCAAATTCGGATAAGCAAAGAAATCAAACTAACGGTCATATCTATAGGGTTATAGATATCGACAGAAAGTTGATTGTTTAAATTTGGAAAGCAAATAAAATCTATTATCGTATCCAAATGATTATGGATAAGATAACGATTTTCCGTATCGCCGCGTATCATACCTTAGGGATAAGGTCGGATAGTCGTCCAGATACGTTGCCAAATTAGGAAAAATTCCTAATTTAGGGTATCTTAGAATATTGCGGATATCGCAAATATTATCCTAAGGTATCTAATCAATCACGCAATATTCACGGAATATTCAAAATATTCAAACTAAGAATTTAAATATTTTGAAAATATACCGGATATAGATTTTTACTTGATTTGCGGATTACTTTCCAAATTTGAATCACCGGCGGATCGGGATCGCGGAATGGCCGGTGGCCGACGGCGGGCGGTGTCTCGCGGTTGCTCAACCAAGCTGGCCACGGCGAGGCTCGCGGCCAGGACGGCTACTTCACGATGGTGGCTCTCAGCAACGGGGCTACTCTCGGTGTGGGGTTCTCGACCGTGGATGCTCACAGTGATGACTCGTGGCCAAAGATGGACCTCTCGGTGGTGCCTGTCTCGTGTGCGGATTGGAGATGCTTGACGATCACACTGAACTTGACATAATGGAAGAGTAGTTAGCGGGTCAAAAGAAATCAGCAAAGAGACAAAATTGGGCACCACAAACTGTTGACTCCGTCAGGTTCACTGAATAAGGAGACCGAAACTAGTATTGTCGCTTTGGAGAAGCTCCGGTGTGGTTCGGATCAGCGTCGAGAAGCTGGACACCAACGAGATTACTCAACTCTCACTTGCGCCACTAGTATCGGGTGAGAGTTGCTAGGCGTTCGCTGGAACTTCGTTGCTGAGGCAGCAACGTCGCGGTAAGGATGCCGTCAGACACAAGGAAGGCATGAGAGATCGACTGACGATAGTCGATACTACTGGATTTGTTGGTATTTTTGCGCTACTGGTGCGAGGTCACGATGGCGGCAAGGTGGCGCGACAGTGGGGCGGGCACGTGCGCGAGCGACTCTCTCTCTTATTCTTGCTCTTGCTCGCGTGTCTCTCGTGCTCTCAAGAATTATGTTCTGGAAATTATGAGAGCCCCCATTGATTATGACGCATAACAACATATTTATATCACAACCTAGGTTAATTAACCGGGCTTCCTAGCCCTAATGGGCTTAGACTTAGGCTTTATCATTTAATTTAATTTTAATTCCAAATGGGCTAAATTAATTCGGGCTGATTTAAACTCAAATTAAAACAACCAAAGCCTTTTAGACTTGTGAATTTTGGCTCCCAATCCCTTGAGTGAGCCGAGTGCTCGAGCTCGGTTTACGAGATGAATTTTCAGTTTTCTCGCCACCGCCGGTCCGATACGGAATGCAATTAACCTATATGATCCTAAACTATATGCTATGCAATTTTAATATTTTTGTTTAGGGGTTAAAATTTAATCCCTAATTTTCTATGCAAATTATTATTAAATGGTCGGTCGAAATTTAGGTGTCAACAACATTGATTATCCATGTAAAATATTCAACTCAAAGTAGAATATGATAATCCTTCTAATTTGTTAAATTTGGAACCACGTTATTTGATAATAGGGATTATCATATCCTAATTTGAGTCAAAGGAAAGAGGATACTAGAAATGCCATAATTTGTGTAAGGCGCTTATTTTAGTGCCAAATTTTTTGAGCGATCATTTAAATGTCACATAAGCGAAAAAACGATTACTTAAGTGTCTCAGGTGACAAATTTTGGTGATTCGTCCTCTGTGGCTTTTTAAATTTTTTTTTTTTGGCTCCAATGTGACTTTTTTAAAAGAAATTGAAGTCTTACATGGAAAATCTTTCGTCCAACCGTGCAAATTGAACAACACAATGTAGCTTTCTTTGGGCAAAATTCTCTCTCTCTCTCTCTCTCTCTCTCTCTCTCTCTCTCTCTCTCTCTCTGGAGCTAAAAGACCAAATTTCTATTTTCACGATGGAGAAACAGAGCGTTATCTCAGCCTATGGTTCGCCTTCATGATGCTCCAATTTTCAATCACCATAGCTCGAGACGAGGAAATCCGAAGCATAGGCAAAGAAGGGACCCATTCTTCGAGCTTGGAAGAGGAAGAGGAGGTCTTGCAGTGAAGATGAGACCATGAGTGGAGGATTGAAGATAAGGCTTTGCGGTGAATATGAAGACAAGTCCAGTAATACACATCGATTGAATCAACATCCTTGCTGGACCTAGATCTTGAGACCGTGATGCAGCCGATGGGCGATATACGTGCCCAACAAGCCCATGTTCAATAACCACGGGAAGCTTTACATAATGCCTCTCCGCTTGCCCCGTTTCAAGAATCACCTTGAACTAGAACACCAATCACTCAATTCTCAAGGACAGAGACTAGCGTGGAATGCAATTTCTTAGCTTTTTTAAGCATCTAAAAAGATTACCGCAAGATCATCGTCACTTGGAGGAAAATTTTTCCAAAATCACACTAGCCCACGTCTTCCCTCTCTGTGTCATCTGATTTGCTTTTTTGAGGGGAAATGTGTCAAAAAAGTCTTAAAACTTTTCTATTTGTGCTAATTTAGTCCTAAACCTTTTTTTGACACCAATTGAGTCCTAAACCTTTTACATTAGTGCCAATTGAGTCCTAAACCTTTCTTTAGTGCCAATTCAGTCCTAAATCTTTTTTTGGTGCCAATTTAGTCCTAAACCTTTTGCATTTGTGCCAATTTAATCTTAGCCAGAAGGACTGAATTGGCACCAATGCAAAAGGTTTAGGAATTGGCACCAATGCAAAAGGTTTAGGACTGAATTGACACCAAAAAAAGGTTTAAGACTAAATTAACACAAATGCAAAAGGTTTAGGACTTTTTTGACACTTTTCTCCTTTTTTGGGGCTCTCTCTCACTCTTTTGCAAATAATCATATGCAGTTGTACTAGTAATTTCAATGGATAAAGTTAGGGTTTGCTTCTTTGCCCTAATTTAGCTCCAATTTGTCAATTAGTGAAAAACAACCAACAATGTCATTTTTTGCTAATTAACATTCTTGAGCGAGCCACATCAGCCAATTTATAATAAACCAATGCCAAGTTGCATTTTTTATATTCCAAATCGAAGTTGGCACTTAAGTGATCGTTTTTTACAAAAATAGCACTGAAATAATCCGTCGAAAAGTTTTGGCACTAACGTGAAAGCCATATGAAAGTTGGACCACTTATAGTGTTCTTTCCCCTTGAATGGAATATTTTAAGTGGATATTTCACATGTAACGTTATTCAAACTTATCGAATTGGAAGCCAAATCAGCAAATTCCGTTAACTTAAATTGATGGAAGGATAATATTTGATATTATCATATAGTTTAGTGACTATATTGAACATTTACGAAAAGTTCATAGACCACATTAAACAAATCAAAAGTGTAGAAATGATATTGCACATCGAGCTAAAGTTCAAGGACCATATTGAACAAATTAAAAGTTCAGATACGACATTGTAAATTGGGTCAAAGTTCATGAACTATTTGTGTAATTATCTTAATTAAAATATAGCTACGTAATTGATTTTATTATTTTGTTTTATTTTTGAAGAAATAGAATAGTTATCCTTTCCATGTCTTACTCCATTTTGCAAACCAAATGTACTATGAAAGTTGCTTGTGCCAGAGTGTTATTGTACAGAAAAATTGCGCCACAACTCCTAAATTTTATGTGGAGAATGCAATTGAGTGCTAAACTTTTGTATTGGTTCATTCAAGTCCTAACTTTACCAAAAAGAAAAAAGGAATGAGTCACAAAATTTTCAATTGATTCAATTAATCCTCAATCTTTAGCAAAAAATGTAATTAAATCTTAAAAATTATGTTCAAAAGTGCCATTTAAGAATGTCATATAAGTACTTTTTCAGAAATTCGTAGACACTTTAACTACTGTTTATCGAAGATTATACCTTTGGAATAAGGCTTAGGAATTAATCGAACCAATTTAATGATTTAGGATTTAATTGCCTTACGTACACAAGATTAGGACTTCCTGTGCAATTCTACCATTATTCTACAGTACTATCACAGGTTCTTAGTTTTGGACCCCATTCCTTTACCTCATTAATATTTATATCAATTTTAAAACATGCATCTCTAATTCAATTCCATGGATTTCTAACTTAATATGATAAACACAGTAGAGACAAAATCATTATATGACTGAGAGTAACACTTACATTACGAGAAAGTACACTTATGCTGATATACTAAAACATACTTTATCGCCCAAACCCAAAATAACCCCTGCACATAGACAAAATCAGCACTGAAAAATCTCTGAAGAAGCCATGATAGCTTGATTGCTAAAGCCAAGACTAAATGGGTTCGAGTTCAGGAACTCGTCAACAGGCTCGATTGGGCCGCTGTAGGCAACCCCAGATTCAAAGACCCGATTGTTCGCATTCAAGTAACTGATGATCTCATTCAGTGACTCCAACCTGTGGCTAAGCTCACCCACCTGGGCTCTCAGCACAGAGTTCTCAGCCTGAATGCCCAAGTAATGCTGTGTGGTGATGTTGATGTTGGTCCCGATCTGGTGGTTCTCCTTGCTCAGCTGAGCGGCCTGAGCCCTCAGATCGTCCAGGTGCTTCTGCTTCCTCATCCGGGACCGCCGCGCCGACTCGCGGTTCGAGATCATCCTCTTCCTCTTCCTCTGGTCCATGACAACCTGCAATTCCTCCTCGGAGGCCGAGTTCCGAACCAGGGACGACCCTGAAGACGTCCCACAAGGAGATGCCATCGATGCAGATACAAACTCCAGTGTTTTGTGAAAATCTTGTGCTTTGTGCAGAAATTTTTTCTCTCTTTTCAGAGCAATTAAGTGGGGGGAGAATATAAAACTAAAGAAAGACCCAGATGATATTCAGCTTCAGATTTATTCAGAAAAGGTAGCTATTACATATATTAGCAGGAATCGAGAGTTGAATCATGAGACATAGTAGAGCCAGTAGAGGAAGACAACCGAGAAGGATTGAACAAGGTGGGTCCTGCGCCTAAATGAAGAGGAGATTATATACCCACAGAGAAGGATCTCACTGAGAATTGGAGACATGAGTCTCAAACATCAAGAAGTGGGTGATGAGCATGAAGATAGATTTCTTGATCAAAAACACCCAAGTTGTTGGGGGAGGTTGAAAGGTTTGGCATGGGAACCAGGAGCCTCAAAAACCCAAAGCCACATTAAGGACAAGGAGAGGGCTTTGCAAGAGAAATAGAGCAGAGGAGGAATTAAAGCAGTGGGATAAAGTCTTGATTTTCCTTTCTTTGATTTGAGAAATCAGAATCATCAACCGAAAGAGGAGAGAACCAGAGAGGAAGATAGCTTTGCCACAAAGCTATGGAAGCGGTGGCAACAAAAAAGAGAACAGAAATATAAGATCTATGGGGAACCAGGAAAGATGCCTATAAAGATTGCTATGTAGGAGAGAAAAGAAAGGAGAAGGGAGAGGCCCTCCAGCGGTTGGAGGTTGGGATTTATAGGGCAAGATGAACCAACAAGTTAGAATAAAGGAATATCAAGAAAATCATTTTAAATTCTAGCAAAAAAAAGAAAATTATTTTAAAATAAAAAAGGGAAAAAAGTAATGAAATAATAGAAATTAATGAAGGGTAAAAAAAACAGAGGGCTTTGGAATCTAATGGCAGAAAAGGTTACTGCCAAAGCTGATGGGACATGTGAGGTTGGAGAGAGGTGAAGGGAGTCCTTAGCTGCTCATTTGCTCAGGTCCAGCCGAGGACCCACAGGCAATACTTTGGTTAGACAATTGTATTTTATTAGTTATATTGCCAAAACAGTAATCTGAAAGAACGCAAATGATAATATTTCTCTTCTCCGATCTTATTTCTAACTAAAAATAGAAAAATTTATTTCTCTTTCTCGGACGAATTTATGAGCAAAAAATATCGTTTGATAACAACACAAAATTTCTGTTCCCGGAATATAAATTTGTTTGATAGATTATTTTGAAATTTATATTCCCGACCGGCGAGCGGCGAATGGTTGGCGGGTGGCGGGCGGCGGCGGACGGCCGGCCGGCGATGAGCAGTGGCGGGCGGGTGGCGAGCGGCGCTCAACAGGCGACAACGGCGGGGGGCGAACGGGTGGGAGGGTGGCGGGGGATAGGCGGCCCGGCGAGCGGCGGCATTGGCAGCAGCCAGCAGCGAGTGAGCGACGGTGGGCGGCAATGATGAGCAATAAAATAGAATTATTATTTCTGTCTTTGTTCCAAAAATAAAAAAAGTAGAAAATTTTAACTTATCATTTCTATTCCAAATCTATTTTTGGGGCCAAAATTTATCCCAAAAATAAAAAAAAATGAAATTATTTTATCAAATAGATTTCTATTTCAAACCTGTTCCAGGGAACAAAAAAAATAAAAAAACAAGAAAACATAATGGTTATCATTCTCGTCCTAATTGACAAAGCTAAACTTTATTTTTTTTATTTTTTTTATTTGGGTAAGGAAAGCTCAACTTTATTTATGTTCATCTAATTTATAAAAGTAAAAAATACAAATGGTATTACGAATTATAGCATGAATCATTACGTTCTTATTTTCCATAATGGATTCACCGATGATAAATGATTTATCTGAATTGAATTACAAGTTGTGAAAAATATATGATAATAAGTTTCTTATGTCGGAGTTTCTATGTTTTTCAAGTAAAAATTATGAAAAATAAACGGATAACATCACGAAGGTATAGTCATGTGAATTTTTGTTGTGATTTGCATTGTTTTGTCAAAGCAAGGCCATAGACAAACTAAATATTTTGCGACACAATTACGAATAAAATTGCCAATTATAATTATTTAAATATGTAATTAAAATTCAATAGGAATTAAAAAATGATAATACACAATGTGAACATAATATTCTAATTTAATTGGAGTGTCATTTTGAATAATAATTTAAAAATATAAAATTAAGTAATTGATTGTGATAACTAAATATTCGCCTATTTAGATTCAACAATTTTAGCTATTCTTTTGAGCCAAACAATGCAATAGTTGTTTTTGAGATCCGACTAGGGATAATATGTGTATTCCTACTAACCACATGATGTCACGGTACGAATCCTTATTTTATTAATTATTCGACTTGAATAGAATAAGGAAAATTATCTATGATAAAGTAATCGGGAGTATGAAAAATTCTGAACCAATCATTATTAGCTAAAACGGAAAGCTATACACGTTGAGAGCTTACACCCGGAGAGTAAGTTCCAATATAACAAAGTTGTCTTTTCTTCACCAACACATATCAGTATGCATGTGTCACGAGCAACAGTTTTTTTGCCATGGAATAGCCCGTGCGGCGCAGGATGAGCTGAGAATACTCCTTCTAAAGATTGCTCCTAAGATCAATATGACAAATCGCATCCTCACATATAATCATATCACCCCAAGTTTAACTCGGACATCCAGTCTCTCGAGTAAGACATACAAAATACTTCGATACAACAACTGGTTTCGACTTGCCATGGCCTTATTAGGAAAGCGCCATTAGCTTCCGATAAGTTTGTACAAGGGAGGCCAACTTCGCCTTCAGAGGTCCTCTAACATGGTATTCATTTCACTCCTAGTACAAACACCCTAATGCCACTCATACAAATCGGTTGTATCATATATTCTACATTATTCACTCTTCACCCCGATGCCATAGAGATTCACTCTTCAGTTCATAAGGGTATGGGAAAATTCGGTCCGTGACACTTACATCTTAATCAATTAGCTCGAGTTAAAGAGAAACTGCAGGGTAGAAGAAAATAAAGTGATTGAAAATGGAATACAAAATAAACTTCGATATTTTGGAAGGTGGAATGAAGTAATGAAAGAGAAATGCACCTTGTTTTATTTGAGGAGAGAAGGAAAATACAAAATTACCCCTCTAACTTGAAATTATTTTATGTAAATACCATGCGATTATTTTTTATAAGTAAAAAGTGGGAGAAGGCGATCTAGTGGACATTTTCGGTAAGTATTATCGTAAGGGTTCCACACATGTCATGAAATATTTTTTTAAATTGTACAACTATTCTGTCCACCCAGCATGCCAGAAGTCGAAAAAAATTTCCACGTGAGATGGCAAATATCTAAAGCATAAGAAACTATAGTTTCGCTCATGATATAATTTGAATTTGTGATGTCACAAAAAAGGGGGTAAATCATTTATGATTGAATAGCAATTTGTACAATGGACGCTATAGCGGCGGTCTCCATTCATTGTCTTCGCATACGTGGATGATCATACTTGATGGGTCCACGTTAAAATATTTACCTTTATATCCCGTCATCCATTTTTTCTTCACTTTGCAAATGTGAAAAGTTGAATTTTCTCTGTTTTGTCTATCTACTGTTTCTTTCCACTTCGGGAAAAAGTACCAAAAAAGTTTTAAACCTATTGCACTTATGTTAATTTAGTTATAAACCTTTTAATCGTATCGATTGAGTCCTAAACCTTTTAACGATTTATTAATATAGTCCATCCGGTCAATTTTGATCGAAAATCGCTGACATGGACGTCGGATATCCTACGTGGCACGATCGATACTGATAAGTTCTAAATTTTTAGTCTTAAAGTTCAAAAGTACTGAGTGATAATATGAATTTTTTGGCCAAAATACCTCGTAATAGATACTGCTAAAAGGAAAAGTAAATATACACTATTTTTATATTTTTTAAGGGAAAATAAATTACTGATCATTTCGTGTACTATGAGAAAATACCTGGGGAACAAAACATTAAGGGCAGAGGTAAATGTCTCATGGAGAATTTTGGATGCTTACAAAGATGGGATAATGATACAAACAATCCCTGAACTTTGGCTCCATATTCAATTTGGTCCTTAAACTTTTAATTTGTTCAATGTAGTCCTTGAACTTCAGTCTAATATTCAATCCATAAACTTTTAATTTGTTCAATGTGGTCCTTGGACTTTTTGTACATATTCAATGTAGTCCCTAAACTATATGAATATTTTTGATGTAGTCCCTGAACTTGAATTGATGGAATAACTAAATTGAATATTTTCATAAAATTTGGGGACTAAATTGAACATGTATAAAAAATTTATGGACGACAATAAATAAATTAAAAGTTCATGGATCACATTACACATTGAATTAAAGTTTAGGGACTCCGTTGAACAAATTAAAAGCTTATGGACTACATTGCATATTTGATCAAAATTCAGAGATTATTTGTGTCATTTTCCTTAAAAAATTATACAATGGAGTCTGTCTCTCTCAATGACGTACTCTTTCGACTCTTTTATTCGTATTGATTTGGCATGCTTGAAAAACTAGACTTTTTTTATATTTGGATCTATGAGCTGTCCATGATCTGATATGACCGGCACTTAATTAATTTGAATATATTAGCAATCGCCAACATGATTTTCCACTACTTAGCATGAGATGTCGTGAAGTCTCAACTTCCATTTGCGTATTGCTTTCGATCACTTAATTATATGTGGGATTTTTTTGGGGGAAATTGTTCGAACAGTTACAATTTTACCAATTTAGTCATACATAGTCTTTTCAATCAATTTTCGCCTGAAATAATTAACGTAGAGATGTGCCAAGTAAGATGGCCAGAAATGATTATGCCACCGTGTTAGCGGTTTTCGGCGAAAATTGATCGAAATGATTATATTGAAATTTCCTGGTGACATAATTAATAAAATTTAAAAGTTTATGACGTAATTGGCATCATACGATAGATTTAAGATTGATTGGATAATTTCTTTTCCAAGATTTTCTTAATGAGAACTTGGGGCAGTTCATAACAATTCGCATCCATGTGCATAAGTGTAGCTCAGCTATTTGAAGATCCATTGAACATTCTACAAATCTTATGAATTGATTAAGTACAAGCCTTTGTTTCGTGCAGATAATTTAGACCCAAAACAATTTGCTCATAGTTAATAGGATCTGAACATATGATTTCGGTTCTTGAGTTGAAAATCCTCGTACATCTCAACTAACTGTGCTACTCTTATGGGTTCACTTCATTAGAACCTGAAAAAACAAAGGATATTAACAAGTTGGAACTATCTCGCATCCATCCAATATTGCGTTGAACCATGGATACAATAGCTTGAATCTAGCTTGCTTAATTAAAATATTTTGTGGATGGATTGTCCATCAGCCTTTACTAAAGAGAGAAAAATGCAAAATGATTGATTTCGTTTCATTGATGCACAAGATTTAGCTACGTCCAATCACAAGATATTATCCAATTTAGCCCGTAATTCTCGCAATTGTGAATTGAAAAAGACCCTAGTGATGGAAGGAAAATGCTTCTTTTACAATGAAACGCAGCCATCATTGAATCTCAATCATAGTAATATTTATCCTTCACTAATACAAAAACTAATGATGCACGAATTTGTTGTGTATGTCTAATTTTAGCTGATATGATATTTACTCTTGCCTAGGAAAAGTAACAAAAAGGTCCTAAAC